TACTGCTGAACTTTCAGTCTTACCATTTACACATCAGAAATTAGCAAATGCTACAGATCAGGTCTTCATTTATTGCTTTGCTGATTTTCTAGACTTAAAAAAGTAATGGAGAAAATATTAATAATTCAGATTAAGCTTGAAATTATGTTTCCAGAGACCCAGCTGATAAACATTTACCAACACACTCTTGGGTGGTGTGCTTATCAAACTGGGAAATGGCTCAAATATGGGAGGGATCACTCCATGGAATGAGGATGTGAGATGTCTAAAACATGGGAATCTCTTTCGGCATGGGGAGAAGAGCTCCAGCCAGGGCCTTGACCCTGACCTTGGTATCTCCCCTCCCACCTCTGGAACAGGAATTGCTAGAGAAATTTGGCAGTTCAAAGGATTTGGGTGTTCCTAGCAACACCCAAGAACAGCCGATGCTGTGTCTGTATTACACTGGAAACCACAAGGAAAATAAACACCCCAAAGAAAGGCAGCTTCCAGGCTGCCAGGAGTCCTAGAGAAAAGCCTAGGTGCTGCATCATGAGCAGCGGGCCATCAGGGGAGGAAGGACCTCCCCAAACAGGTGCTGTGTGCTGCTACCTTTGGCTGTGTGAGCTTCAAGCTTGAGCTCACTTTCCTGGGACATGGATGCTGCATGTACTGGTGAGAAAGTGAGTCACAGACTTCTGGGGCAGAGGAGATTTGGGAGGCCAATTATACCACTGTAGTAAATACCCATTGGTAAAAGCCAAGTCTGACTGGTTAATAGATATAAATCTACAGTCATGGTGTGTGGGGGGGGAGTGAGGTGGACTGGCAAGCTATAGGGTTGGAAATACGGCCACTCAACCATTCTAGGTTCCCCTTTGGTCCCTGAAGGGACAAACAGCCCTTGAATTCTGATGACCTAGCCTGCTAAATTCAACTGGCAGGAGTTGGGATAGTAAGCTCAGAGCATGTGCAGCACAAATCAGCCGGGAGGAAAAGGAGTGAGCTTTCAAGCTTCCTGAAGCTGCCACCCTCTCTAGCAGCAAGGATGCTCAGCTCCAGCGTCTGATGGACAAGGTGGAAAAGGCAAGGAAGGTGGGGACAGGATTCCCTGTGGAACCTTTGGGCACAGCCTGCCTATCTCCCCTAGGGAGAGCATGCTCCCAGCTTTTAACCAACACCTCTGCTTTTCCCTTCTTTCCTTCCCAGCTCAAGCAGAAAATTAATCTCTGGACTCACATTTTCATAAATGATTTGGATGAAGGCATAGATGCCTTGCTTATCAGACTTGCAAATAGCTCAAGGCTGGGAGGTAGAGCTAACATGTGATCTGAGAGAGTCAGGAGCCAGATATATCTTAACAGCTTAGAACAAAGGACCTGCAAAATACCATGGATTTTGATAGCAACTGGGGTGAAACCTTATGTTTGAGTTCAAAATATCAAACACACACACACTCTCCCATAACTGAAATTGGGTCATACTTTAAGGTTTACCAAAATAAAATAAAATAAAATAAAATAAAATAAAATAAAATAAAATAAAATAAAATAAAGCACTTCCTATGTGATCCTCACCATGACCCTGACAGGTAGATGCTGTAGTTCTCCATTTTTCAGATGGGGAAATTGAGGCTCTGAGAGCTTAAATGTCCCGCCTATTGTCTCCTAATTATTAAGAACCTGATTCAAAGCTAGCTCATCCATATCCCAAATCTTGTGTTCTGGCCACTCTGCTGTATATAAACAGCCAAGTAGACAAGGACAAATGCAGTAATAATGATGTTGAGAGCAGCCAACATGTATCTAGCACCAACATGTGCCAGGAACTGTGCTAGGCATGCTACGATGATTATGTTATTTGATCCTGACAACAATCCTGGGAGGGAGGTACATTGTGATCCCCATTTTACAGATGAGGAGATTGAGGTAGGCAGAGGTTAACTGACTTGCCCAAGGCCACATAGCTAGGAAGAATCTCAGGTCAGATTGGATCTCAAGTCTTCCTGATTCAAGGTCTGGCACTCAGTGCACTGGGGTACCCCCTAGCTTCTTGTAGACTGCAGTTTCTGTGAAAAAGGGAGGTTTTCGTGCATCATAAATTCAATAGGTCAGCAATCTGATATCAGCCAGAAAAGCCAACAGAATCTTGACCTACTTTCAGAGAGGCAGAGTTCCTCATGGGAAGGAGCTGTTTGCTCCCTAGCTTGGCCTTGCTAGCTCACTCCTGGAATGGTGCATCTATTTCTGGGCGCCATATTCTACAAAAGTCCGTTGACTGACTGGAGCAGAACAGAAAGTAACTAGGCTGGAGAAGAACCTCGAGATTCTACCTTTTCAAGATTGATCAAAGGACATGGAGACCTTTAGTCTGGAGAAAGGAAGGAAAAAGAAAACAGGTGGAATGGATAGACTTTGCAGAGAGGGAGGTGTTGCCTCGGAGAAGGGAGCTTCTTTCTGGTCAGAGCGGTCCCAAAAGGAATGGGCTTCCATGAGAGGCCGTGGGCTCACTTTCGTTGAGTGTCATGAAGCACAGACTGGAAGACTCCACAAGAGGGGGAGCTCTCCCATTGGGCGTCACTCTCTGCTGAGGGGCATGAGGTCGGGATAATTAGTGGGGTGGCCTGCTTCGCTCGGGCTTTGCCGGCTCTTTTCTGTGCCAAGGCCCTAACATCTTGTCCAGTTGGTCAGCGAACTCTTACAGGTTGTTGTGGAGTTGTAGACGAGCACCTTCAAGCCTCCTTTAGGCTTTTTGAGCCTTCTGTGACCCTGTCTACTCAAGTGGGGAAGTGGGATATAGGGGGAACAGCCTCCTTTCAATGCAATTTAATTCTTTTAAAATGATTCTTACCTAATGGAAAAGGTATTTTTCACAATAACCTAAAAATATAAAGCACAGATTTTCCTTTTTCCCATAAAGAGGATTAGGATGGGTTATAATTAGTACCTCTCAGAGTCCTAATGAGGACTGACTGAGCATGAAACAACACAGACTCCCTGGGCTTTTCAGAAAAAAGAGAGAAAGGAGAAGAATGCCTCCTAGCCAGCTCCTTAGCCTTCTCCCCCAAGGGCGAGACAATGCTTAGCTTGGCTGGAAGGCCCTAGAACAGAAGGATTCAGACAAGTAATCTGGCTCCATCCTGTAAATATAAACCCAGGTCTCCAAATTCAGCCCAGAGAACTCAAGGGGACCCACAGAATGGAATTAAGCAAGAACGGCCTCCAATTTACCATAGAATGTTGTTTGTCTGGACCCGTGACTCAGCTGTTATAGGGAATTACAAGGTGGGGATAAGGAAACTGAGGCAAACAGGGTTAAATGACTTGCCCAAGGTCACACAGCTAGTAAGTGTCTGAAGTCAGATTTGAACTCAATATAATTATGTGGATATCCATGTACATGTGTACATTTATGCCTATATAGATATTATGTGAGTGATAGACATAAATATGAGTCATTTCAAAAGGGTGCTTACTGAGATGTCAAGGAAAAAGAATAAAATCAAAAACATTACGAATTCTATCTAAAATCCGTTATCTTTATACCCTGAATAGGTCAAGATTTATAAGGTTATATAAGGCAGGGGTTAATTTTGATTAAGGATCATTGCTTTAGAAGTGAAAGGCATGGGAAAGGTCATCTATTCTAAATTTTCATGTAACTCATGCTAATTAATAATAATATTAATGAGCATTCATATAGTTCTTTAAGGTTTACAAAGGGTCATACAAATATCTCATTTTTTTTCCTTCCAACAACCTAAGGCAGATGAAGGTTAATTGACTTGCCCAAGGTCACATAAGTAGTAAGTAACCTATTTGGGATTTGAACCCTGGTGCTCTGACTCCAAATTCTGTATTGCTTTGACAGAAGCACTATAACTTCCTAAAAGGTCTGAGTAAGAAAGGAATTATGTAAAAGATTTCACTAATGAAACTTTTGCCTTTATGCCCCCCCCAAAAAAGAACTCTCTCCGCCTTTTCCTCCCCCATAAGATGGCCCTAGGGAGCTTCTGGCAGCCTTTGGAAGGGGACCCAAAGCTCAAGTTTTTCACCCCTTCTGGTAAGGGGCCTCCTTTGGCATTTTCCAGCAACATCCATCAGACTTTCAGCCTCCCAAGTCAATACTAGCTTGTCTCCAGCCTATTTAAAAAGCCCTCCAATTTCAGGATGGTAACAGAGCCTTTGGTCTCAGAAGGCGGTCTATCACTCATATAATATCCATATAGGCATGAATGTACATGCATACCCACATACTTCTATGTTTCAATGTGGGCAGCATTAGAGGCAGAGAAGCCTAGTGGTAGAGAACCAGCCTTAGGTTCCAGCACCTAAAGGTAGTGTGACCTTGGACAAATCATTTCCAAACGTTGTTCTCAGACTCTGAGTTGAAGAGCAGATCCCAATCTGCATTGGTAAAGGGAATTTCCTTCCCAAGGAGTTTCCTACCCCAAAGAAATGGCAATTCTAGACTCTGTGTGTGCAGTTTCTATGTCTTGGAAAAAAGACATTCACCTTTTCTAACATTTACTGTTCACCTGCCCCTCCCTTGAAGAGCTTCAATGAAAAGTGGGAGGAATCTATTGGTGAATTTTAAGTGCTTACTTGGTGCCTGGCATGGTGCCAACACTGGAGATAGAAAGAAAGGTAAACACAATGTGCCTGCCCTCAGGGAGCTGATAATCCTTTGTGGAGACCAAGTGCAAGCGTGCATATGTGATATATACTATGTAAATAGAAGACATCGTCAAAAAGAAAGGGGTAGATGCAGAAACAGAGATGGTAACAGGGAAATAAGCCTGATTAGAGATACAAGTAACTCATCTCTGCTCACATCTCCAGTCTTCTCTAATGTCTAACCTTTTACATGGGGAGGGGCCATTTCTGCGTGCAGAAAGGTAACAACGAGGAGGGAATAGTGCTTCTGCAGTTTAGTAACACGTTTCCCTTCTGTAATTTTCCAAATGAAAGACAATATACTGAAAGATTAAATATGTGATCATCTGTCCAATCTCTTTGCAGCTCTGATGAAGCCTTCAGCAAAGTCAACTTAAATTACCGCACGGAAAACGGGCTGTCTTTACTTCATCTGGGCTGCATTTGTGGTGGTGAGTACCTTGAGCGCCACTCTCCCCTTCCTCAGTGATCACTCCCTCAGTGCTGAGCCGACTATGAGCCCATTCTGGTCCCTGGCTTTGTCCCTTCAGACGTCAGTGACACTTAGTTGTGGTGCAAACCAATAGGCCATTGGTCCATTTGATTTAGTTCTGAGTTGAAGCGGCCATGTGTCCCAAACCAGTGATTATTGGGAAACTAAAGCACATTGTTTTCCTCCCCCTCCAAAAAAAAATTGTGCTTGCCAGTTAAGGAAAAGGCAGATCTTAAACTCAGAGACATTTAAAGTCTTAACCCAAAATGTTGTCATGCAGTCAATCAGCAAACATGTATTAATGGTTCACCTTGAGCCAGGAATCTTAATAAGGACAGGGAGAACGAAGGAAACCAAGAGCAGTCCTTGCCTTCTGGGAGCATGCTCTAATGGCAGGAGACCAGACATAAATAAGCCACTCTAGGACATATACAGAAGAGGCAAGCGCAAGTCTCAGAGTGAAGGCTCCATGATCTAGGGGAACAGCCCTGACCAGTAGAACACATTCTAATAGCCTGGGGCTGCAAAGAAAGGAGAGAGACAAACAGCTCCCTCCCCCCTTCCAAAGAGCTCCCAGTCTGATGCCGGAGACAAAGGCAAACTGGTGTAGACCTTGGAGAATATCCGCAAAGGGGCGGCACCAAGACGAAGGAGCATTAGGAAAAGCTTCTTGCAGAGACCTGAAGAAAGCTGAAGAGAGGGAGAGGAGGACAGAGAATTCCAGGCATGGGAGACAGCGAAAACACCAAACCTGAGATGTGGAGTTTCCTGTTAGAAGGATAGCCAGGAGGCCAATATCACTGGACTGCAGAGAATGAAGAGCAGAGCAGGATGGGAGAAGATTGGAAAGGCAGGAAAATACAGGCTTAGGAAGGGCTTTAAAAGACAAACCGAGGGTTTCCATTTGCTCCTGAGGATAATGAGGGGCAGCCCCGGGGAGTTTTTGCTTACAGCAATGATAGGTGGTCCCATCTGAGGTTCAGAACAATCAGTTTGGATGGGGAAGGAGTATTCAGTCAGGGAGGCCAATTAAAACATGCATCTTTGAAATGGGGGAGGGAGACAGCAGAAAGGGAAGTTTTCACCAACTCTTTCAAGGAAGCCCTGGATCCCACTTGGCTTACACGACTCTCAAATCCATCCATGTCTGCCACTGAAAGGCCAGAACACATTCAGAGAAGGGTGACCAGGAACACGAGAGGCTGGAGACTCTGCCATAGGAGGCGTGTTGGAAAACCCGGGATATTTATCACAGAGAGGAACACATGGGGGCTTGGGAGCATGCTCCCTTCTTCCCAGTACTTGAAGGGTCATTACGGGGAAGTACAATTGGATATGGTCCGCTTAGTTCCTGGCAGCAATGAGAATAAGCTGCAAAGAGGCAAATTTGAGTAAATGGTGAAGAAAACGCTCCTAATGAGAGCTCTTTGGCTTCCCTCTCAGAGAAGCTCTTTAAGCAGAGGGTGGAAAGATTCCTTCTTGGAGTCGTGTGGAAATCTGAGCTAGATCTTTTCTGACCCTCCCCCTCCTCCACACACACACACACACACACACACACACACACACACACACACACACACACACACCCCACTCTGTCATTCTGTGTCCTGACCATCCAATCCCAGTCCTGGCCTGGCCAATACCTCTGACTGTGCCCCATGCCAGCGGTTCTTTCCTTCCTCATCCCCACCTCTGGGTTACCCTGCCTTCCTTCAGGTCCCGGCTAAAATCTCATTTTCTACAAGAAGCCTTTCTCCACCCTCCTCACTTGTAGTGCCTTTACTCTGAGATCATCTCCAGTCTTTCCTGCCTTTACCTTGTTTGTGCATCATTTTTTGCAGGCTGTCTCTCCCATCAGACTGTTAGCTCCTTGAGGACAGACACTGTCATTTGTTCTCATTTGTATCCCCCAGACTTAGCCCAGTTCCTGGCTAAGCAATCTTGTTGCTCTGACAACACTCTCCACCTGAGAGCACACCACCTCCTTTTGATTATATCCTCAGACCTCTTCACCAATGTGACACTTGGGGAACTGGACAGGGAAGAAGGTAGCACAATAGAAGAGCAGTAGAGAAATTAAAACGAAAAGATGGAAAGGTGTGGTAGGCATTTTTAGAACACTTCATGCCTATTCAGAAGGTAGGGAGAAAATGAAAGCCATTAAGAGAACTGGCACAAGACCATCCCTTTGTCTTGCCCTTCTCCATCCCTCCCCCCAGTTCTCTGCCTCTGAACTTGGACCCTCCCCACTTACTCTTTCTTCCACCTCAAGCCCAAATGCCTTCAGTAATTTGTGTACTCATACCTAGTTGGAGGACTGATAGAGCTTTTAGGAAAGAGAGTGGAAGCTCTTTGTGTTTCAGACAGTGGAGATGTATGATGGAGCCACCTGGATCACTGTGACCTGACTTTGGCTCTCCTCCCCATGACTTCCCAAGCAACACTTGCCAGTATGTCCTAGGTCTGTTTTCTCCTTTACCTAAATTAAGATAAACCTGATCAACAAACGGCTAAGGAGGCCCAGTGCATAAAAGCACCAAATAAGGGGGGCTTTCAGACCTGAGGATTTGTTCCATTTAAGGGACCCAGGATTAGTAGGACCTAAAAAGAAGATGGCTGACTTCCACGCAATGAACACTTATTGAGCGTCTAGCTCATCTTTAGCCTTTTGTACTTAATCAGACTCCTTCTGTTTTCTCATCAAAGGCAACAAGTCTCATGTGAGAAGCCTCATGTTAAAAGGGCTGCGCCCATCTCGTCTAACAAGAAATGGGTTTACAGCTCTGCACTTGGCGGTTTATATGGTAAGATATTTTTGTGTCTGTTAATAATGCATGGGGAGCCTGGGGGGTGGGGACAGAATGAGCCATCCCTTTCTAGTCTACCACAGGCCTGGGGAAGATATACTGTCCCATAATCCTCTAGTGCAGAGAGAGCCCTGAGACTTGGTCCATCCGATCCTTTGTATTCACCGGCAGGCATAACCCTGGGCTGTGGGTCACCATCCTGAAGTTCCTGGCTCTGTCACTGGGGCACCCTCGTTCTCTTCACATTCAGGGTGCTCTTTTCCCTTCAGTTCCTCTTAAAGATGCTCCTCTAGAGCTCCAGAAATTCCCCCAATTCCCTTGGTCTACAAACTTGCCTCAAGAAGTTTCTGTGGTACGAGGTGCAGAGGCCCTGATTACCCAGAGACTGGGGAAGGAGACATTATTCTTGGATCCAAGGCTGGCTAGGTATCCCCTCTGCCACCCTGCCTCTCAGCTGGCAGAGGGACCTGTCTACAGAGCAAGAAAGGGCCTTATGGTAAGCCAGAAGAGGAAACCGAAGCCCCAAATCTGAAGTTACTTTCTCAAGGTCACAGAGGCAGAAAGTGGCAGAGAGTGCCTGCATGGGAGGCAATTACAGTGGATAAGGCTGGAGAGGCAGGCTGGGACAGGCTGTATTCTGGAAAGCCTTGAATGACAGGTAAAGGAATTCAACCTTCACTTGGTCGGTGGTAGGAAGCCTCTGAGGATCTTTGATGAGGACTCTGCTTCTGGAAGGGTCACTCATCTGTCAGTGCTGTGAAGAGACAGGGAAGAGGAAGGGGGAGCCCTTTTAGGGGGCTAGTGCACTCACCCAGGCTGGTGGAACTGAGGGCGGTGACAAAGGAAAAGAGAGGAGAGGTTGGCTTGGGGTGATGCAGCAGAAATGGGATGGACCCTGGAGTCGGGGACAGTCTGGGAGTGAGGGGAATAGGAGCGGGGCTCCGTCACAGATGATGTGAGAATTTTGGACATGGGAAAGTAAGTGCTCGATGTTGTCACTGTTGGAAATTGGGAAGTCAGAAACTGGAGCAGGGAGCTAGAGGAAGTTCTGTTTGGGACATGGAAGTTGGAGCTGATGATGGGATGTCATAGGTCCAACTCCCTGGGCTGAACCCTATGAACTGTTCAGTGGGGGGAGGCTTCATTCTAGCCCTGCCCAGGCATAGGGCTCACCTTCTTCCAAGCAAAGACAATATCCAAAAGGTTTACCTTTCTTGCAGATGCCATTTGACATCGTAATCTGGTGTGCCAGGGTCTGTCACTTCCTAATTCATTTTTGGGAGAAGTTGGCATTGTGCTTAGCATTTTCTAGATGCTAGCAAGAAGTCCACCAACCTGACCCTTAGGTATTGGCCACTTCCCTCCAAAGTGATGGATACCATATGGGGACCATGAAGCCCATGGACTATTATTACTCAGAACGCATGAGTCAGACATGGGAAGGGACAAAAGAGACGTCATTGGTCAGGGTTTATCACATGCTTTCTATATGCCAGGTTTTGTGTTAAGCGCTAAAGATGCAAAGCGCCCCAGATCTAATGGCAGACAGTGCAGATGGAGGGTGATCGCAGAGGAAAGCAGAGGCCCAGGGGAGTGGAGCCTGGGAGAAGCTGCTGGGAGATGGTAGGATTGGGATGAGTGTTGAAGGCAGGAAGGGAATGGAGGCAGTGGAGATGAAGAGGGGGAACATTCCTGGTTAGATTACAGCCAGTGCAAATGTTTGGGGTCTAGAGACGACATGGAACATCAGGGGAGTAGCAGCTCCTAAAGGAGACCATGTCAGGGAAGTAAGGGATGAAAAAACCTAGGAAATGCCTGGGGGAGTCAGTTATCTGCGGCCCCCAGTCCAGGGATCTTGAGAGGCCTCATGATCTACCTTCTGCTTTCACATGAAGCCACGCTTGCATTGCCAAGATGGAGAAGTTATCTTATCCATCCACCAGACGACTTTGCATTTCTGATGGATGGACTTCCTTAGAATTCTTGGAAACTGCTGCAGCAGCTTTTTTCTGCACATCTGTGCTATTTTTCCTCCCTTTTCAGTATGCAAGGTTCAATTAATCAGTGTGGAGAACATGCAGTCATCCCAAAACACTTTGTCTGTAAAGAAAATGTCCAAGTTTCCCCAAATCACTGGCCCTTTGGAGAACAGATTGGATAACTGACAGTCAGTCTTCTGGAGTATTTTGGAAAGCCTTGAATCGCAGGTAAAGGAATCAGAGGATTCTTGTTGTTATAACGGAGATAGATACTGAGTTGGTGTATCATATTAATGAAGAATTTAAGGCATCGATTATTAGATGGAAAAGAAAGGCTGTGAATCACTAACTTTCCTTGAACCGCATCTTAAAAGCAATACTTACCTTGGCTCCTCGCTTCATCATCATTTCAGCCAATGTTGAATATTTGACCAGCAAACAGGAAGAACTCGTGACCAATCACATTTCATATTAAAAAATGGGAGTGGCTAAGACACGGCATTTAATATGGTTCTACTTACATTGTACTGCCACAAGATGCCAGATAATTCGACTTTTCCATATATACCAACACATTTCCTATTAAAAAGGAGCTTTACTTTGTGTCACAAAGAATTTTCCAGTGGGAAGGGACCTTACCTGAAAGGCCACTTGGTCCAATATGGGCCTGAACAGTCATTTTCTCCAAGATATTAGCCACAAAGTGGCCACCTCTCCTCTACTCAAAGACTTCCATGAATGGAACACTGATGACTACTTACCTCAAGACAGGCCATTCCATTTTCAGATTGCTTGAATTGTGAGGACACTTCCTTTCGTATCTGGCCAAAATCTGCCTCTCCAAACTTCCTCCCTTTGCTCTGAGACAGCGAGGTAGCTTGTACATAGGTGCTGGACCTGCAGTCTCATCCTTCTTGACCTCTGGGCATCCTCCTTTCTCTCAGATACTTGCTCTTCTGTGTTCTCTTTCATGTCACTTCTCTCTCCTGGTTCTCCCTTTAACTCTTTGAAACTCTGCCTCAGTTTCCTTTGCCAGAATAACATCAAACTCTTTCGCCCTGACTTGATGTCCCTCAAGGCATCATCCTGGGCCCTCTTCTTCTCTGTCTCTAGATGTTCTCTTGGTGATTTCATCAACTATCATATATTCAATGATCATCATTTTGCAGATAATTATTATTGTCATCATCATCATCATCAGCAGCAGCAGCAGCATATGGCTCCCAAACCTATACATGTAATCACACATCACCAGCTCTCCACTGGACATCTCACCAGGATGTTTGATGGGCATCCAAAGAGCAGAATATCTGATGGATTTGAAACATTCACAGTATTCAAAGCTCACTGGTACAGAGGATACAAAGGCAAAAAAAAAAATGGAATAATCTCTGTCCTCAAGAACCATATTGTCTTCTGGGGTTTATGGGACATGTACACAAGTACAAAGTCTGTGAATGTCTTTGGCCAACACCTTTATGGAACGTGCCCATCCACATTTGGTCACAGCATCACATCTCATCAGTCACGCACATGGACATGCCATGACACTAGATGAGGTTAGCTTGACATGACTTCTCCTTGATCAGACTCTCCTGGAGCCTGGTGGTCCCAACTTTCCTTTCTAAATACAGAAAACAATTCCTTTTAATAACACATTGAAGGATTTCTCCAGGAGTCAAACTCAGGTTCACTTTTCTTAAGCCTGAAGAATTCATTGTCTTTTCTTCCTCAAAAAGGGGAACATCTGCCCGCTTCTGCAGTCCTTCACATTTCCTCCATAATCATATGTAAGTTCATCAATTACATTGCAGTCAGTACATTGAAGCAATATTCGTGAATTGTCCACTGTTCTGGAAACTTAGAATACAAAGATGAGAATATCACAGCCGCTGCCTTCAAGACCCTGAGGCATAACTGGGGGATATGACATGAACACACGTGCAAACGTTTAAGTCAAGGTAGCGTTTGAGATCCAGGCACAGCACTCTAGGGGGAAGGACAAAATAGAATGATTAGCCTGAGGAATCATCCAGCAGAGGGCGTCTGAGCTGGGCTTGAAGCAAGAGAAAGACTTCAGCAGATAAAGCGGAGGGCAATGGGTGGAGGGATGGGGGAGGAGTGAAGTTTGGCCTTCCTGAATCCACAGAAGGAAGCCTGAAGACATGTGTACAAAGAGGAGGGCATGGGAATTCATCTGCTGGAATGTAGAATTTGTGTAGGGGGGCGGGAGAGGTGAAGCTGGCAGGGAATTATGGAAGCAGAGAACTGGTGAAAGTATGGAATTATGGAGACAGAGACTCAGGTGGAGTCCTTGTTTGGCACCTTGTTGGAGGGATTCTGGCAGGTGTGGGTTTGGCTTCTCGGTCATTGATGTCCCTCCCTACTCTTACATGCCATGATTCTGGGATCAGAACAGAAAGGACTTTGGGGGTTCTCTGGTCACACCCTTGTTTTACAGAGGAGACGACTGAGGCCTAGGAACATGAAATGACTTGGCTAATATCACTTGTGAGTGAACACGTGTGCACACACACACACACATGCACACATACCTGAACACACACACACACACGGACACACACACAAAGTGGTAAAGCCAGGGTTTGAACCCAAGGCCTCCACCTTCCGATCTAAAATGGGATGATAATGGCCCTCAACTTATTGGGTTATTGTGAAAGTCAAACAAAACAGCATTTGTCCAGTGCTTAGAACAGTGCCTGGCACATGCTAGGAGCTCCATAAGTGTTTGTTTCCTTCCTTTCCGCAGCTAACACAGCATTCTAGTCCACATTTTCTACAATAAATCCTTCTTTGTCAAAGGTTTCCATTACTTCTCCTTTTGGAGCAAGCTCTTCTTCATTGGCCAGAATTTGGTCCAGAACAGCCTCATTCCTTCCATGTTAAATATGGATGCCATTTTATCTGGGTCTTTCAGAGTCACCACGTGTTCTTCAAAGGTGACCCCACTCCACCACTGCATCACTCGGTAACACATGCTATTGGTCCCTTTAGAGA